GGACTGTGCATTATTCTTGTGCAAAAAAAATGCTGCTAAAAATGGGGACAATTTAATAAAGTGTGCTTTGAGTTGCAATAGGCTGCAGAATGCACCATTAAAATCAATCATTCTTTTGAATATTTTCCCCTCTCACACAGGCTGGGATAGTTGTAATCTTCCAAGATTAAATGGTTTAAATAGTGTCGACGCGGGCTTAAAATTTTGATATTTCCACTCAATCAGTCACGAACTGTTAATATATCGGAATCTGTGTGTCTATTCCGTGAAGCTGGTTTGAAAAACACATATATTTTGTGATTTCAGTATGGTTTGGTTTAAAAGTGCAACACGCCGTTATTTAAGAGGCAGTAATCATTGATTCCGGTTGAAATGAGATAACTGGTTGAAGCAAAGCTCTTCAGACAAAACAATTTTAAAAAGAACTCTACCAGTGATTCGAACCTGGGTCATCCGCACCACAAATCGGCTACAAACCTGTTAATTGATTGTTGATTTATTTTCGTTAACTTACTTTTTTTATTGGTAGGAAAAACAAGCGTATTAGACACTGTGGCCATCAAACAGGCCTGACAATGTGTGTGTTCTGGTAACTATTTACAGATTGTTTGAAGTGATACATAGCGGATGAAGAACGAGACAGATTTGTATTTAACGACTTGCATGCAGCACTCTAGAGGCTGTTTTAGCGGGCTTTTTTGAATAACTGAGAACCACCCAATTGAGCTTAAATCGGGCCCCTGATAAGTCTTTTTTCGGAAAGCGAGATAAGAAGCAAAAAAATCTAAATAAACATACTTCATTCGGTGACCCATTTTTTGTGATTTTTTCCCCTTTAATTTAAACGGTGACAATATAAATAGAAGATTCTGGGCAAATTCTGTAGTGGGAGGCTGGATACGATCCGTGGAGATCTTTGGGAGCGGATTGTCGGAGGAGCAGGAGTAGGAATCTCTATACGTAAGTTCAATCGTTTTGGTAAGAAAACTGACTTTTGAGGTCGTTTCATGAAATGAAGGCACGCTCATAACATGACCTTATGCAGCTGCGAGTGTCGTAAAACCATTACTAAACTAAACGGTGAAATGAAATAATATTACAATAGCTTAAAAACAAAACAAGTTATGTTGTTACTTTTATAAGAAAGAAACCTCACGCACACTAGTTTCATTACTGGGTTTTTTTCAGTTTAAGCTATTGCTACCATTAAAAATTTGCTTCTTTATTTTATTAGAATCATTTATCTATTTTTTCTGTGGAACTCAGTGACTTTTTGGATATAATCTATTGCTCTAGACTTAGAGATTTTTTTCTGAATTTGATATAAACGGTTATCTCGTTCCAATCAGAGGCAGAGATTAGATATTACCAGACGCTGTCTCGAAATAAAGGCGCGCCTTAAAATTTATACCATCCTAGAATCATAAAAATAACTGAGCTGAACAAACCACCATCCCGATACAGTCAAAGATTCTTCTGTCTTTAAAATTCGTGATTTATTGGTTGCAAATGTTAATGTTTTACGTTAACATCGACACCATTAAAACATTTAGAATGTTATTGCTAGCCCCAGTTGAGTGGAAGGAAAAACCTACAGCGAACTTTAAGTACAAGTTAAACAATGGTGCCCAAAAAACATTTGAAAATGTATTCACCCAATCTTCGTGTTAAAGCTTTGCACTACCCACTTAAGTAACATATCTATTTAAAGCTAAATAAATTTAGCATTATTGGACACAATAATATTCCATCTACGATGAGAATCGCCCAGAGATATGGTCACTCAAAATTGTCTTAAAATGTTAAGCTTGGCAAACTAGTGTGACATCAAAGGAGCTTAAAAATGAGTATTGACACGTGCTCGAGCATTGATGGAATGGACACGTATTGCAAGTCAAATGAATGGACTTTTTTGTTGGCAATAAGCAATATTTTATTACGGTAGCTTGAACCCGATTGGAAAACGGATCAGTCACATATACAACGTAAATCTTGGACCTAACATCACCTGTGCTGAATAGTATTTTGTTTAGAGGACCTTAGTTTTGTGTAGATCACAAACCCTTTGTTCATGAACTATGTTAACTTTTGAACACAATTATATTTTGACATGTCATCCCAAATGTCACAGAATACGCAAACAAAGCGGCTGAACTGGGAGCAGTAATGTGTCTTCAGCTGCTGTTTTATGGAGCTTCTCATATCTGTAGGATTCATATCGTGGCTATTTACTGATGACAACTCGGTCATTGATATGATTTGCTTTCCCAAGATTGTTTTAAAGACATTGGCCCTGTGCGAAGGTGTTTTGTCATGCATGAAGATGTCAACTTAAATGACACCATGACGAAAGTATGGACACGACGTGAAGTTCCAGTACTTGTACGATGTAGTCATCTAAAGAAAGCCTTCCATTGATTCTCACGAGTGGGGTTTTGTTCATTTCAGACCAGACCCCCCCCCCCCAGGAACTAGGGCAGATTAGTAGTCTCTATTCCTCAGTGACAGATGATTATGTTCAAAATCTTAAGAACTCAGTTTGTGCTAAAAAAAGAGGTGGTACTCTGGGCGAAACCAAAAGTCTCATAAACAAACTATTAATGAGCACATTTAATGTTAGGTCCAAGTTTCATGTGGCATTTGTGATTGCTTTGTTTTCCAATCTGTCTGAAAACATTGTAATAAGACAATGTTCATTTTTAGAGATAATAATATTCTCTATTCATCAGGTATACAATGCATGTTCATTCCACCTAATAATATACTCAAATACAAGCGCGAACTCACTTTTACGTTTCTTTAATTCCGTACAGTTTTTCAAAGCATGAATTTTAAAGATTACCTTTAAGTGACCATATCACGGGTGACTCTTATCGTGGATAAAAAATTATTGGGTCAGATGATGCAGAATTTATTTAACTTAATATTGCTATGCTGCATAAGTGGGTAGTGCAAGGCTTTAACAGGATAATGGTTGGGTGAATGCATTTTCAAGTTTCTTTTGGGTGCCACTGTATAATGATGAGTTCCACTACATAATGTATAACCGATATCATTTAGGTTTGTTCGTGTATATTTATTTCAAAGACAGAAGTAGATAACTATCATTTTCTTTGAACAAGTGTGACCACGAATACGTCCTGGGCTATCTATCTATCTATCTATCTATCTATCTATCTATCTATCTATCTATCTATCTACCTATCTATCTATCTATCTATCTATCTATCTATCTATCTATCTACGTGTGTTTTAATGTGTGTCTGTGTGTGGGTGGGTGTGTGTGTTGGTGTGTGTGTGTGTACGTTTGTCTTTGTTTGTGTTTGTATTCATAAACATAAGAACAAACTGGAACAAGGCTATACAACATAAATAACAACCAATGGCGTAAGCTAATCGTCACCGCTATATTATAAAGGTAACGTATCCTGAGAAAAACATATTTATATTCATATTACTTCACAGTGACCTTCGTCTTTCCTTAACCCCCCCCCCCCCCTTCCCTCTCAAAAAGCCCAAATAAAGAAAACCAAACAAACAACAAAATGAACAAAAACAAAAGCAAAAATAGAAATACAGCTATCTGTTCAAAATAAGTTCTGTAAGGCCTAACCAAATCGTGACTAAAATGTATGTGCTGTGAATATTTGAACCCTGTAGTTTTAAGCTGACAAGAGAGGTTTTTTGTAGTTGTTGTTTTATTTACAGAAAATGCGAAGAAGTAGAGTGTGGCCTCTATAATCGCTGTTTACAAAGGCGACAAACTCATGCCATACCAAAATATAATCCGTATTTTCAACACAACAAAAAAACTCCCTTCTTGCCGCAATCAGCTGTCGACATCTCAAACGCAGTTGGGTTTCATAGGAATGTATAATATAATTTATTCTTTTTTGTGCCCCAAACATGCCCGTAAGGACAGATTTAGAATATAATATTATTGATAAAATGTGATGCGGCATTTTTTAACTCTCAAAAAAGATACTGTTATCGCTAAAATATGCAATTATGGTCGGTGATGAGGAATATTTCCGTGGCCCGGCAGTTTTCGGTTGTTGACGCTGTTAACAGTTGTGGTTTCCTTCCAAGGTCGCACCACGATTCTGATACACGATTTCTCGTCCTCATTTGATGCATAACTTTAATACATGATTTTGATAGATGGTTTTGATATACAATTTGAAATATTTGGATTTTGATAGGTGATTTTAATATTGATTGATTTTGACAAATGATTTTTATACGTGTTTACGCTACATGCTTTTCGTATATGGTTTTTAACTGTGTATTTATCATATGGATTTTGCTGTGTTGTTTTGATAAATGATTTTGAAAAAAAGCGTGATTTCCCAGCAACTGGAGTAGGGCAAGAATGTGAGTCTTTTGAAAGAATTGATTCTAATCCAGTACAAAGTCGGCTTTCAGAGAGTTTTGTATCTGAGTCCATAATATCAACGCAAAACCATACCGGTTTTTACAGTGTAGATGTTAGGCGCCTCACTGCCTCCCAACTGTGTCGATGCAGGCGTAAAAACACCTTCATAAAAATTTGAAACACAAAATTCGAACAAGCGTGCCACCACTTTATTTGCCAAGACTGTTACATATCGGGGTGTTTTTTTTTCGAGTATTGGTAGCACTGGTTGTGGTGTTGGCAGGGCGTGTGGAAGTATCCTAACATAAAATTGTAAGATATGTCGTATCTACTTATCTTTGCTATGGACACAAAAGGTAAAGATGCGATTCTGACCCAAATTAACGTGTACTCTCTCTCTCTCTCTCTCTCTCTCTCTCTCTCTCTCTCTGCGCCCACTATAGATCGTAAAGTGTGTAGAGCTTGCTTTTGAGGGGGCAACAGTGGTATACAAATGCTATTCATAATTCAGTTATTCTACTCAACAACTAAACAACACAAAACAACCTAGTGTGCTTTATGTGTCCTGTCCTTGTCACCCCTACTTTTTCCCTTATAACGAAAAAATTCTGTTGTCGTCTCTCAGATGTGTGCCGAGGACAAGGAAAAAGCAAGACAGACTTCAGAATAAGAAACCTTTATCAAAAAGAGTTCCCAACGCACTCAAAGAGACTAAAACATGGCTGTCAAATCCAGATGCATGAATTTCCTTCTGCGTGCTACCTTCACCTTGCTGATGCTTCCAGTGAGTCTGGCGCAGAACAACTACTGCCCTAACGTAGAAACGATTGGAGGAACAGTAACTCTTCAAGACGGAGACATGGTCTGTGCTCCCTTAGGGCAGGGACAGTTGTCAACAGATGTTGGGAGTGACTACCTCGTCTGCACGAACGGCCAGGTCAAGAGGATGTCCTGCAACGCGCACCTCAGGTAAATTACACGTCTGTTCGGTAAATTAATCGTCGAAATTCTGCCATGTTTCACCCCCAACTTCACCTATCTCCTAGTATGGCTGATCGTTGGCACACTTCTGTGGATTTTTACTAATAGTTTCTTCTACTCCTCGCTGTTCTCAGCTTTCCGCAGTTTGTTTCAGTCACGGCCAGTTCACTCTTTGATGTTTTCTAAAACCATACTGGTCTACGTCTAATACTAACAAAGTTTCGAGCAAATCGAAAAACAGGCGCTATCTGGTCTTCGGGATTTATGTTCGAGCAACTTTAGGCATAGTACTTTTTGTAGCTCAGAATAAGAACCATTTTCCCGTAAGAGTTTTACGGCACTTGTAACACAATAAGGCCATATAAGTGCCGAAGATTAGAGGTTTTACAAGAGTGTAACAAACGCAAAAAGAAGGAGGGGTGATAAAGACGACAGATGTTTGATAGGAAAGAAAAAACACACCAGAGCACCCACGACCCACCCACGAATACGAACGATGTTTCCAGAGGATTGGTGTAGAGATAAAGAGTAGCTCTGTTACATAGAATCGGACAAGTAGGGATTTTTGTCCAACCGCCCGATATCGTCTGTAGTAATGGCAATGAGCTAGTTACCCAGAGAGCACCTTAAGACCATTCTGCCTCCTTCTTAAAGTTTAACAGTGACGTCATGGCTCGAGAGTCACACCCGGACACTGAACAGCCCTAGGGTCATATTTGATCTTGGACTTTGCTAGCCATTCATCACCACTCTCATGACAAGTTGGGAGACTACACCTACCAACACCAAAGGCAAAGAAACCAGTTTCACTTCACTTTGATGGTTTGAATTGACTTTTTTTTTAGATGAGAAAGTCACAAATATGTCACTGTCTATTTGAGAAGGCCTAAAAATGACTTATATTTCTGGCGAGACGTTGCTGTGGCTAACGTTAAGTATGGAAGGAGCATCGATCTCCAAGCGAGCTATACTATGATACCGTGACCTAATTTGTCTCTCAGAGAGAGAGAGAAAGAGAGAGAGAGAGAGAGGGAGGGAGAGAGAGAGAGAGAGAGAGAGAGAGGGGGGGAGAGAGAGAGAATAGAAAGAGATAGAAAAAATAAAGAGCAAGAGAACGAGAGAGATGAGAGAGTGAACGGGAGAGAGAGACAGAGAGAGACAGAGAAAGAGAGAGGGGCGAGGGAGAAGAGGGTGATGGAGTATGTGCCCCCAATAGTTAAGAAAAGTTTTCCAGAGCCGCCTCCCTGAAGACAGTCAGAAATAATCGGCTGTACCATAAATACAAATTACAGATTACCGAAAGCTCTTTTAAAGACGTGTTCTCCTGGCACTCATATTATCTTCCTTCTCGTCGTTTGTATATGTGTATATGCTTATGTGTTATAATGTTATAAAGAAAAGACAGAGGGGGAGAGAGAGAGAGAGAGAGAGAGGGGGGGGGGAGACAGACAAAGAAACAGACAGACAGACATAAACAGACAGACAGACAAACAGACAGCGACAGAGAGAGAGAGAGAGAGAAAGAGAGATAGGAGGGAGGTGCGGGAAAGGTGGGGGTGGGGGGTAGGGGGACTCATGAGTGATTGAGTGCATACACACACTTACATACGCAAACATTCACGCTCATTCACAAACGCAACGTATACTGACACAAACTCACATATACAAATACACACACATGAGGTCACACAGCAGAATAAACAAACATTCAAATACCAACATACATGACAAGTCCTGGAGTCAGACTGTCATAACAGGACTCTCTGTTTCTAGCTTCAGTACTACGCTCCACCTCCGAAATGGAAGCGAATCTTATTTGCAGACACGAAAGAATGACAGTTAAAGTCACACCTTTCGCGTCATGATATAGTGTAGGACAAGCCGGGGAAAAAGATTAAGGAGAAATTTGAGAAAAGTTAGTGTTTGTTTTTTGCTTTCGGCCAGTTATCAAGACATGGTTGATTCAGGGTACTGGGGTACGCTGACTGATATATCGCCTCTTACATCTCTGATGGATTTCGCCTATCAAGTTGCGCCTCTTATTTCTCCTCTGATGGATTTCGCCTATCAACCTGAAAATGTTATACGCTATCTTCTATCAACAAGAGCCCCATATCACAGAAATTGCTTGATCAACTGTTTGCTAACATTTTGAAATGTCACACTTTTTATGGGAATGAAAATAATGGAAGTATTTTTTAATGATTTAGCAAGCTTGGCATACACGCGTGATATATTATGGGTTATGATTGAGAATTTGGCTCCCGCAAGAATTTTAGTCCTATTTTCTGTTTTCTAACTTCTCTGTCTAGTTGATTTTGCTCTACATAATTTCACGTCGTGTCCTTCTGTATGATATTATAACATTCGTAGGTATGTAACCTGCCTACGGGCTGGTCAGTTGCAACTCTTCACTTAAATTCAGTCACCATTACCCCCCCCCCCCCAATCACCCCTCTGTCTTTGTGTGTATGTGTATGTGTATGCGTATGTGTATGTACATGTATATGTTTGTGCATGCATATACGTATGTGTTTATGTATGTGTATGAGGGTATGTGTGCGTGCGTGTGAGAGCTGAGCATGCGTATGCGTATGTGTATGTGTATGTGTAAGTGTGTGTGTGTGTGTGTGTGTGTGGTGTGTGTGTGTTAGTGCATGTCTTTCTCTTCACTTTTTGCAATCATTCCTTCTGTCTTCTCATTTGTAATCTGAGGGTTTGCCTTTACGATCGTACGAGTAAGATTATTATGCACATGATTCTAGACCAAACGACGAGGCGCCTATCCGTTACACCACAGACACCGATGATCACAGAGGTAAGCTGATTGGGAAGTATTCCATTTGGAATTATAACTGGGCTGCTTCCTGGTCAACAGTGCTCACCCACAAAGGGACAGAAGACTTGCACCGTGGCGAGCTCTCTCTAATGACGTATATAATATATACACCCCAATTGTCTTTGATCAGTGCCAAGCAAATCAGAAACTTTGTCTCATGTCGTATCAAAGGCTATACGGATGTAAAGGGAAAACTTATTATCACCATCATCATCATTGAGGTAAAGAGGTAAAGATATATACCTAGTGGTTAGGCTATCGGACTCGCAACCGTAAGGTCGTGGGTTCGAATCCCGTCAGGGGCCCGACGTTGTGTCCTTGGGAAAGGCACTTTACACGAATTTTCCTCACTTCACCCAGGTGGGAATGGGTACCCGGCTATAGACAGCGAAAGATCTTG